CGCACATAAAGTACAGTAGTTATACAGTTATTCTTTCCTTTTACAGATATTGCACACAATATTATACAAGAGAGTTTAAGATGTCAGTAGCTTCTAGAGCAGCCTAAATTGAGTGGGAAATAAACAAACTAATGGAATTCTTCTGTGTCAACTTGCTAGAAACGTGTATCGGAGCTGGATGACTCTAGCTGACAAGGCAGAGAAAGGCAGAAGATTGCAAACTTCCAGCTTATAAAACTGTGACCAGTGTTATGTAACTTGAAATTTGAAGGCAATCACCTAGTGCTTTTCTCCAGAAATCAAAGTTTTTATAACCTTCAGAAGACTAATGTTTAAACTAAACTCCCAGTAGTAATTAAAAGGACTGATGCACTTAGCTTAACCTTTGCAATAGCTGTGACTATTCTAAGCATAGTGAGGCAGGCAAGTGGAAGAAATGCACAGACAGAACATGATGAAGGTATTACACTGAAGTAATGTAAGAGTCCATTTAGTAAAACGTTCCGCTGCAGTACATTAATGCACATGCATTAGCGTTCGGATCCAAAAGGGATGAAAAAATTAAAACCTGCATGATCCTTCTTTGTTTTTACAACACACAGTATATGCATTGGGCTCTATTGTACAATGTGTTTTTGTGCCATTAACAATGAATGACACAGCAACGCACCACACCAGGAGTAATGCCATACATTGTGAAAACACACTTCAACGTGTGCCGATTTACGCTCTATCCATCATCTGATATACACAGAAAGGTGCTTCTGCCCCGTCTGGGCCTGGCTATTTACTGTAAAAACCCAACTATAGGGGTCATTTCCTGGTCAAGCTAATTGCCCCTACTATCTTCTTTCGAAAAGTCGGCATTGGTGTTCATCCACTTTGCCCTGTAGTTCATGGACAAACAGATGTATTTGCAAATAACTGCAGCCTTGCACATTCAACAGATTTCTGTAACCTGTGTGGTCAATTACATTCGCTGTTCCCACAAAGACTGATAGAGTTGTCACTACCGACATGGCACCACTGTATGGCTGAACCCAAGAAAAAGGTGGACCACTTGCATTACGCACATAGACAACAAAGATAAACTTCTCCCGTTGTTTACGTCGGCCAAAAGGTCCAAGTCTCAACATTGAGATGTACAGTAGTTTTTCTACAGAGCACGTATCATTAACGAACCATGCTAGCAGTTTTGAAAACCATCATAATTTACTGAGTTCAGCAACAGTGTGGTATGGGGTGGTCAACTTTGCTGCTAGACTGTAGAAATCAGCCAGGTTTCATTTTCTAGAAAACTTGGTTATGGAGAGATAATTTAGTGCTGTACTTAGAACTGAAATGTAAAATGTTTCTTTAGGTTTGGCTATTAAACACGGAGTCTTACTAACGATTGCATCAAACAAATGCAACAATTGCACAAAGCACAGATCTAAAAATTGACTCAAAATAATTACCTGCCCTTCACTATGTGGGATTGAACTATATTGAGCAAGAGCAACTTGCAATATCTTATATATGTAATCAATGTAAGATTTAAGAACTAAAATGTATTTTTCTAAACAAACTTTCCTTTAGTATGATAGTTGTATTATGGTCCTCTCCCCTGGAAAATGTATTATTGTAGAACCGACTAACAGACGTGGGGATATGAAGAAGTGTGTATAACTGCCTTACGGAGAACATTTGTCATTATAAATTCAGGTCCTACAACACAAAACATCTCTATACTAACCTATTGCAGTACTCAGACTGAAAATATAAAAGCACTACTGCCTATTATTAAGACCCAGCCATATAACAGGAAACAGATGCAAAAGAGGAAATAAATATGAAAATTTGGATACAAATAAACAGCCACAGAGAATTGGTAACATTTCTCTGGTAAATATTGAAGCATAAGAGGTGTTACGTGTGGCTAAAAAAAAAAGACTTTTCAGCACATTAATAGATGAGTATTGCTGGCCAGTAAGAGTATACGTTTTGCACAACACATCTCTATACAGGCATTATGTACTATTGGTTATGATGTACTTCCAATGAGCCATTTGATTTTAGACAGGATGAATATCTGTATCAATTATCTTATGATGTAGCACCAAGTCCCTGCCATTTAAGCCCACAGTAATTAATATTGTTAGCAAAACCCCTTTCATAGTTGGAAAACCTAAAATATTAAAAGGACTACTTAGCAGGTACTTGTAGGTGTTTATAGAGCATGCTTTGTGGTCATGACTTCCCACCAATATTGATTTTGCACAGATGTCTTGGATATACAGTTACAAAAATGTCTCTACTGCATGGAAGATTATATACAAAGTTGGCTGATTTGAAGTTTATCTAAAAATAATATGGCTTTATAACCAATTACTCCAATGCTATTTGTTACTGGTCTGCTGTTCAGTATATCCACGTTCCATAAACCAGGAAAACAGATAAAAGCAGTCCTAAAGTATCAAAAGAGCTTGCTTAAAACAATAGTGGCTTCAAAAATATGGCTTTTGTGCTACAATAAAAGAACTCGTGTAAAACTAACCCTCACCCAACTACAGTGATATATTATGAAGCCAACCTTGTAACTTTGATGACATTTTCTAAAGTGCAGCAGTGACATGAGTACAGGATGTCATGGTAGATGTTTATTGATAAGTTAGGGCAGCATTGCTTTGTATGCCTTGTTTATTTTGTATATGTTGCTGCCTAAACAGGATACCCAGGATCCTACTAACAAATGATCACCCTGGACAAACAGCTCACTGTAAACATGTTTCTTGTACACACCTCTACGTATAACGAAAACAGAACTATAACAAAACCGCAAGTGCAATGGCATTTTGCATTACTTAATACTCCAAATATAAATAGTGTAGCCAATAATTAGCATAAAAATACTCTTATGTGCAACGTAAGATCTAAAATCAGTTTCTTGCCAAGGTAGGCAACTTTTTTAGTGACCTGCAAACACTAGATACAGGGTCGAGCGGTGGTTCAGCTAAAGCTGTAGCACCTTTGGTAGCTAATGCTTTGGGGTGTTAATCACCGTCAGTATATGCAGTATGCGCCAATGCCATATCATAAATAATAGGGATGCACCAATACTAGTATCGATATCTGTGCCGATACAGAGAGTATTTGGGCGAATACTCGTACTCGCCCAAATGCTCCGATGGCAAGCACGATACTTCCTGTATCAGGAAGCCGGGCAGCGCGTCATTACACGCTGCCCAGCTTCCTATTTGGCCGGGAAGCGGCTCCATGCTCTCTCGTCACTTGTGATGAGAGAGCATGGAGCCAACTTCCCGGCCAATCAGGAAGGCTTCCTGATTGTCACACCCAGGGCCTCTCCAGGCAGGAGCAGCCTTCCTCCGGTACCCAGCCGGAGCCATCTTGCTGGCCAATCATGGAGTGAGGGCCCCGTGTAATGACGCAGCGCCCGGCATTCTGATTGGGCGGGAAGCCGGCTTCATGCTCCCTCGTCATCTCACGATGAGGGAGCATGGAGCCAGCCCCCCGGCCAATCAGAAAGCAGGGCACCGCATCATTACACGGCGCCCATCTTCAATGATTGGCCACCAAGACGGCTCAGGCTGGGTACCGGAGGAAGGCAGCTCCTGGCTTGAGAGGCCACGGGGGTGTCAGGCGGGACATGCTGAAGTGAGAGGGGACAGACTTTCTTGTTAACCGGGAAGCGAGTCTGTACATGCTGCCCGGCTTCCCGGCTAATCAGAAAGCCAGGTGGCGAGTCATTACACGCCACCTGGCTTCCTGAATGGGACTTCCGGTACTCGGTAATTGGTATTGGCGAGTACCGGAAAAAAAATGATCGGTACTCGGTACCAAAATACCGGTATCGGTGCATCCCTAATAAATAAGTAAATGTTCAAACTGGGCTAACTTCCCTGCCTTTCTCGGCTGAATATTCGTAAACAAAAGAAAAAGAGGGCGCATGGAGTACAGATATAAGACAAAGAAATGTACAAAGGACAAGACAGGAATTCTTGCCATTAGACAAAACATGGTACTACAAAAAGGGAAAGGTGCTGTTTTTAATTTTATCTAATTCTCATGCTGTGCTGGCTTCAAAGGCATTTTTACAGAAGAAATGTCAAGTAGTCTTCCATCTCGGCTCCTATTTTTTTGCAGGTACAACGGTAGAAAGAGGGCAAGAACAACCGCATGCAGCCCTTCATTTCTGTTTTATTAAACATGGCTAGATTTCTGAGTGTACCAACACCTTTAACTAGTGTAAAACATAAGCAAACAACCTGAACTTCTGTGAAAGCTTTCCTGCAGCCTTCTGAAGATTATTTATATGCATCTTATCGATCAAATGGTTTTAATATTAATATACCACAGAAAAAAAAAAGTAAAAATCTGTGCTTATTTTAAATAATTTACGTAGAGTTTAAAGTCACGTTGATAATACTGTTATGCCACCCTAAAGCATTTATGCAATGTTTTTGGTCCTAATTTTGTAAGGAAACTAAAAAAGGCCACCAGATACCGAACATGAATGTGAAGGAAGAGTTATTACATACATGCTTATTAACAAAGGGTTAAAAAAGAAGAAATCAATGTAATCTAATCAGTTGTGAATTAGGTTGTTTGTTGACTGTGTCCAAGTATGGATGAACTCCATGATCCGAGGGCAAAATGATGGTATGCAGATCTAAAACAGGGTAATGTGCAAAATACAAATATCAACTTAATAAATACCATTTATAATCTTAGATAAATAACGTACTTGCATAGAACTTGAAATTACATTGTACAACTGGCAGTAAATTATATATTATACATAAATATATGGTCTATATTTGCACTATGTAATGATTGTGACTCAGAAGACAATCTGTAAAATGGATCAACAAATCAAAATATAATAATTTCTAACTGCTGAACTGCTGTAGAAGGCAAAGCATTTGATTTAACTGGGTACTTAGGCAATGCCAAAGCCAAGGTATTTGTGCAGATTAACAAGTAAATGATTTTTTTTTTACCCCCCCATAATGTTCTTTGTAAACCCAACATTGATAACAGATTGCATTAAAACACTACCACGGCCACTGTAATTCCTTAAAACAGGAGACTATTATACCCATTATTTCCTTTAAGCATACAGCATCACTATTTTATTTTCATTTAATGTGACTTTGGTTGAGGGAGACGTGATTGTCTCTTTGGGATGGAGCAAGTATCACTTTCACGCATACCATCTTTTTTATGAGAGAGGTGCCTAGGGACAACTGGAGATGCCTTCCCTGGAGGCTTTTGGGCTTCTTTAGGAACATCCTTTGAAAGCACGTCAGGCTTGGAAATATTTGGTGTTTTCAGTTTGGAAGGAAGGTGACTGGTAGGTCTGAGTAATGATCCCTTGGGCATTAACTTGCTTACTGGCTTTGAGGGTTCAGTTGCTGGAGCTCGCAGATGAGTAGATAACTCTCCTTCACTTGACAACTTATCAGTTGATAGTGATGTGCTGTGAATTAAATATCTTGCATCTGGCATGGTTTTGGTCAAGAGGGACTGACCAGCAGGTGAACATGTCTTTTCCAATTTGCAAGTGTTGGAGTCAGGACTGACATTTACAGTGGTCTGATGCACAGGATAGGTATTCGGTATTGTCTGTTTCTTTTTGGTGTGGAAATTCTCCTGTTGCAAAGAAGGGCCTGATGAATACATCAACATTTTAAAGTCTGTTGAAGTCAAGCTACTGTTTGGAGGGGCTAAAGTGTTTCCTCGATATGCCAAAGTATATTGCAGTTTGGGCTTTGGGCACTGCAAGGTCTTTGGGCCTGAAATGTGTCCAGGCAGTGATGCATTCACACTTGTTTTAGACTTTAGATATTTTTGTTGACTAGGTAAAGATTGTGGTACCAGGTCATCAGAACACAGTCTAACATTTTTGTTCTCATCAAACTGTGCATGACCTTTGTCATGTTTCTCTTTTCTATTTTTTGGATTGCTTTCTCCATCATTTATCTTCAACTGTGTGCTTAGGAGATCACTTAGTTCACTTGCAGGGATGATGGAGCTAGCTCCAGAATCGTCACTCTGATAAAATGATAAACATTGTTGAATGTGCTCTGCCGGTTCATTTGGGACCCCGGTAGGTTGACATACTGTTAATTTTCCCGAGGGGTGGTCTGTGGAACTGAGGGTGCTGCTGGAACACTGTAGTATTTGAGGCTGCAGAAAAAAGGAAAAAACTAAAATTAACAAGAGTGTTTTTTTTTTCCAAGTAGGGAACTGATTGTTCACTAAAATGAACAAGAATTAATTTCCATGACAAACCTGCATATTAACAGTTATTAAGAATATTATACATGCATATGTAAATACATGAAAACTAAAAAGGGCACTGAAGTCGTATGCAGTTGTTTATTACAGGAATAATGTACGAGCCAAAATAATAATGTTCAACATTACACTGTAAATGACAAGCCCATTATAATTAATGTTATCAGGAACAACAAATGCAAATGTTAAATGTACATATTAACGGTAAAGCTTAACATTATGTACCGAGATAAATGTTATGTTAAGCCGATCTTTGTCCCATTATAAAGCTTTATAGTAATGGCGTTACTGAATTTGTTCATTCAAGAAAAAAAGCCTTCTAAAACTGAAGTATTGAAACTGCTACAGTTAATATAACAACCTAAAAAAAATTAGCAAAAACGTAAATTACAGGTATGGCATATGCCTGTGTCTAGAAGTCAATTGCCAGAGGCAAGCAGAGTAACAGTAGCAAGAGCACTACTTCTGAAAAGATGTTGATAATCCTTCCTGGATACATTAAATACGATATTCTAGTGATAGACAATTTTACTGTACAACAATAATTCAAGAACATGTGGGATATGAGAGGCTACCTTCTAGAAATTCTACCTGCCTGACTTTCTTTGGCTTTAATACCATCCAAATAACGGATCCAGAACTAGTATGCAATTGGAAAGTCAGACTGCACTCTGAGCTCCTTATTTACATACTTACTCCAAGTCTACTCCTCAGAAAGTATTAAAGCCACTGTTTTAGGAGAAACTAGAGGGTTTAACAATTAGCCGCCTGAGCTGTAAATCTAGCACTAGGCATTAGAAATGTCTACTATAAAATACCTTCTCTTCTCATTATTCAGAATGACATAGCAAGTGACCTATCAAGAGTTTAAGCCAACATTGAGAAATGGCTACAGTTCCCAAACAAGGTTCTTAGAAGTACAGTGAGCATGCTCTATGCCAGGGTAAAGGCTGCTTACAGTCATTGCTTTCTATAGTTACATAGTTAGTGTGGTTGAAAAAAAAAGACACATGTCCATCGAGTTCAGCCTATTTGAATGGATTTATATAGAATTAAAAATACAGAACACATGTTGTATTTGTTAATTGGTTTAACATGTTAAGGCTTCCCTTTCAAAAGTTTGTACTATGATAAACATTACGGTTAAATATAAAACTGTTCACAAACACTGGAGAATTTTTATATTTAACCTAAATGTTTGTCATCGTACAATTGTACTAATACAATTATACATACTACAGTGTTTGACGTGCTGGCACAATTCAGCTTCCCTCAGGTAGCTGTGCTGGCCAGTGCCACCTTTCACATAAATTATTGCATTGGGCAATCTTGTGTGTTTAGGCCTGTTTAGAAGGGAAGAGGGATACTGTAGACAGCTAACCTGTCCAATTAGAGCCTCAGCCGGCTGTGTCTTCAGATAGTTTAAAAACATTACATATCACCTTAAGCCCTTATTCCTGTGTTACACTTCCATAAAGCCCCTTGGTTTAAACACCAAGATTACATTGTTTACATCAGAACAATAAAATAAAAGGGTAATGATCAATATTTAATCTTGACTGAAAAAGTTTCAGACGTTTAAACTCCAATTACACTAGATTGGCAAAGTCAATATGAAATGATCATTTCACTTGCAACTACAGTTTGAGGAATCAACTCATTATAGGGATGACTCATGAAGGTAATAATGTACAGAAATCTATACAAAGGAAGACTGTACAAAGAGGTGTAAATTAATCAAGACTGCTTTGCCTGGCATTCTAAACAAAGGTTGATTTCCAAAATTTAAACCGAACAAGCTTCAGAGTACCCAACAGTTTCTCAAACATTTACAGATCCTGACAGATGTTTTCACACAAAAAAAAAAATCACTCTAAACATTCAGCAAACATTATATTTTAAAGTATGTCCCTGTTAGTGTTTTGGTGACAAAAGCTCTTAAACTCCCACTGTCTGTGACAGCATCTGGCTCCTGCACTCATTGAAGGATAGTTTATCACACAAGAGAACACCAACATTAGGCATTCATTTATTTGCCTCATTTAAAGTGGACTTGGCACCTAAGTGCAAGATCCGCCATTTGTTTGCCCACCTCTCCTGCCCACCCCCACGTGGGATCTAGGTGACAGTAGTGTCAATCACCTTCCGGCGAAATCTGGGGAATGGGGAGTACAGACAGTCCTTGTGTTAGGAACATCCGAATTACGTACGATTCGTACAAACAGAGGTCCCAGGCTGTTCTACTAGTTGTAATGCTACGGTGCTCGTGCCGACGTTCGTATTACTGTACCTCCAGTACATTACAGGAAGTTGTTAGACGTGCAGACGAGGAGGAGTGGGTCTGGTTCGTAGTACTGTACCTCCTGTACATTATAGGAAGTTGTTAGACGAGGAATGCCAGCCTCTTGTTCTGGGTCTGGTACTGTACATTACAGGACGTTGTACAAACATCTGTCCAAGTTGCATTTAAAGTAGAACTCCATGGAAGTTTTTTTGTTTTGGATAGTATGGTGTGGAGTTAAGAGCCACTGAGGTTTTTAATGTTATCTGTATCTTCATTAGAAATATTTGTATGTTACAACTGGCATACAAATTATCTTTCTTTTTTTCCTACAGGTGTAGTTTCCTAGTGTTTTAACAAGGGGGAGGGAACATATATCCCACCTCGACTTAACCACTGAACCTTCACATTCTCAAATAATTCATCCCCACCTCCTCATGTATCATTTCCCCCTCCTCTTTCAGATGGGAAGCCCTCAGGGGCCGGGCTCTCCTTACCATCTTGTCTTGAATTGTAATGTCTTCCTAATATTGTAAAGCGCTGCACAAACTGTTGGCGCTATATAAATACTATGTAATAGTGCACGGATTCCCTTCTAATCTGAGCAGCAGGGAAAGGATGTCACCTCTGTGACATACGTGCCTGTCCAGCTTTTTCTCTATTTCGCTATGGAAGAACTAAAACTGCCAGACCCCACGTCGTTCTATGGGGAGTTGGATGTAAATGGACATGTCCAGTGAAACTGATCGCTGACTAGCATTCGATCAGGCCCTCTTCTGGTGCTGTGGAGCTCTGAGAGCAGAGTCCTTTTGTATCAACATATACACAGCTAACAATGACACCAACAACAACTATAATAACAGAATAAAGGTGGAGGTTGTTATATTGGTAACTCTTGGATACCATCATAAGTGATCTGCTGGGGTATAGGTGCTCAAAAGGGCTAAATCACATCCTTTATACCTTGTTATTAAACAAAGTTATTTAAAATAAAATGTTAGATATTAAAATCAAACCAATAGTAGTTTGGTTATGGCTAGAACTCTGGTTATACATTGCTTTTTCAACAGATCACCCTCAACAACAATGTATTTAAGAGGCTCTATCAAGATTTAAATAAGAGTATTTTAAGTATTAGAGTCAAGAGTTAGAATTTTAATTTAATTGCTAGTGTTAAAATTTAAGGTTTTGGGGTTAAGATTTCAGATAAGTGTTAGGAAAGTTAAGGGCTTATTTAAAGTTTGGGGTAAGTTAAAGTAACCCTGTATTCAAAGAATCATGTAAGCTGCCATTTCTGAAAGCCTTTTGAACTTATCTGGCTTTCAATAGATTTAATGCTTTGTGTTACTGAGCGGAGACATGCAAGCAACTGAAGGTCCAAACCCTTTCCTCTCCATACACATTCTGAGTCAGTGCCTAAGAATAGGTTACCGCCAAGCAGCCAGCATTTTCAGAAGCAGAGGTCAGCAATAGCAGTCTACACCCTTACCCAATTACAGGTTTTTTTTGTGTGTGAGTGGTAAGTTTTAGAGTCAAATCAGCATCCTTGGAAATTATTCAAAAGTTTGTTTGGATGAACTAAAACTTGGAGAACTATGGGGTGTTTTTCCCCATAGTTCTCCTCAGGGTCACGGGAGGACATAAACTAGCGTCCTCCCGTGACCCAAAGCTCAGTATACCGTGAGCTACAGCTTGCGGTATACTGAGACCGCCGCAGCCGGGCCGGATAACGACATTAATGTCGAGATCCACCCAGCTGCCTCTAGATAGGCAGAGCCAGCTGTACCCACTCCCTCCCCCATTCATTCCACCAGTCAGCGCTGGAGGATCGGAGCGGGGAGAGGGGGAATCTCTGCAGGGAGCCGTGAGTGACAGTCACGGCTCTCTGCAGGGACAAGATCGAGAAGTGAGCGAGCGGCGGTATGCGTTCGCTCACTTCCCGATCTATTGAGCCGACGTGTGACAGTTTCATTGTCACAAGTCGGCTCGAACTATGAGGTGAGTGAAAATCAGGGTGTGATTCAGGGTGGAAAACAAGTGAACTTTCCTAAAGTCCTTTTGTAAACAATTTGCAGAGTAATTCGCCTTGCACAGCTCTGTGGACATTTGTTCTGTGCAAACAGAAGCAAAAATTAACGTTCTTCGTATATTTTCTTTTCAGGTTGAATGTAAAGCAATGTAATACGACTAGAACTCTCCATGTTAGCTAAATTGTTTCCATGATAAAACAACAAATGCTGGTGCAGCTGTATGGACAGGGGCACCCTATTACATATTTACTGATTACACATTTTTGGCCACAAGTTTAAAAAACACAAAACAGTATTACACAATTGACAGGTATTGCCCTTTCAGAGAACACGGTGGCAATCCTCCAGGAAGAGAGAAATCATTGATTCACTTGTTGAATGCTGCCAGGGCTTGCATCCCAAGCACATGGAAACAAATAAAAAAACTTCAATGGCGGTATGCCAGAGTGAATGTGATCAGGGAAATGGAGAACTTTACCTCAACCCTACACTCTGCAGAATACTTGCAATAGCATTAGAGTTCTCCCCAAGTGTCTCTGCTGATGTTCACAAGTGGCTTTTTCTCTCCCGTCCTTCTG